GGCAGAGTGTTTGTAAGGCAAAATTGGCAGAGGAGCCCTTTCTGTGCCGTTATATGCCCCGGGGAATTCAGAGAAGCACGCCAATTCTGGAGAGAGAGGGTTCTCCTTGAGGTCATCCAGGCCAACCCCCTCTCTTCTGCTGGCTGGCTTGTTTGTTTGTTTGTTTGTTTTACTTATTTACTTATTCATTTATTGATTGATTATTATTTTTTTCATCTGGCATCACAGAATACAGCTCTTTCTGTGCATTATATGCCCCGGGGAATTCAGAGAAGCACGCCAATTCTGGAGAGAGAGGGTTCTCCTTGAGGTCATCCAGTCCAACCCCCTCTCTTCGGCTGGCTGGCTGGCTGGTTTGTTTGTTTGTTTACTTACTGATTTACTTATTCATTTATTTATTCATTATTATTTTTTTCATCTGGGATCACAGAATACAGCTCTTTCTGTGGGTTATATGCCCGAGGAATTCAGAGAAGCACGCCAATTCTTGAGAGAGTGGGTTCCCCCCGAGGTCATCTAGTCCAGCGGTTCTCAACCTGTGGGTCGGGACCCCATTTGGGGTCGAACGACCATTTCACGGGGGTCGCCAAACAACGCAGTCCGCCATTTCCCCCCCCTTTTCCTTAGCTGTGTTCCTCCCTTTTCTTCTATTGGCTTTTGAAAGCCAATAGAAGAGACTCTCTTGAATAGAATCTAATTCTATTGGCTTTCAAAAGCCAATAGGAATTGTCCGGGCTGTCTCTGCCCTGCTGAGCCCGCCAAAAGTCCCATTCTGCAAATGGGGCTGCACCAGTTGAGTAGTCCTCGACTTACAACCGGTTGAGTAGTCCTCGACTTATGACCCGTTGGGGGTCGCGGGATTAAAAAGGTTGAGAACCACTGATCTAGTCCAACAGCTTCTCTTCGGCTGTCTGGCTGGCTAGCTGCCTTATTTCTTTATTTATTTACTTACTTACTTAATTTATTTACTTATTCATTTATTTATTTATTCTTTTTTTTTTTTTCATCCAGCGTCACAGAATACAGCCCTTTCTGTGCGTTGTATGCCCCGGGGAATTCAGAGAAGCATGCCAATTCTGGAGAGAGAGGGGTCCCCTTGAGGTCATCTAGTCCAACCCCCTCTCTTCGGCTGGCTGGCTGGCTAGCTGGTTTATTTATTTATTTATTTATTTAATCATTCATTCATTCATTCATTTACTTATTCATTTTTGTTTTTAATCCGGTGTCACAGAATACAGCATTAGGGCCTAAGGATTCTACAAAAACAGCACACCAAACGGGTGTCAGAATGCAGGGAGTCCCCGACTTAACGATCGCAATCGGGCCCAAAATGTCCGTTGCTAAGCGAGACGTTTGCGAAGTGAGCCTTGCCCCATTTTACGACCTCTCTTGCCTCCGTGGTTAAGCGAATCGCTGCCGCCGTTAAGCGAGTTCCACGGTCGTTAAGCGAATCTGACTTCCCCCCCATTGACTCTGCTGGTCAGAAGGTCGCAAAAGGAGATCAGGTGACCCCCCCTCAGGACGCTGCGACCGTCGTAAGTACGTGTCGGTTGCCAAGTGGCCGAATTTTGATCACGTGGGGATGCCGCAGTGGTCGTAAGTGTGAAAAACAGGCAAAGGTCACCTTTTTCAGTGCTGTTGTAATTTTGGTCACTAAGTGAACAGTTGTAAGTCGAGGACTACCTGTACACCCCCACTCCCACCTGGAGTCCCTCAGTGAGGTAGATGAGTGGTTTCTAAATGAATAAATACATACATAAATTCATCCTTTCTCCCTCCCTCCCTTCCTCTCTTCCTTCCTTCCTTCCTTCTTTCCTTCCTTCAACCTTCCTTTCTTCTCTCCCTCTTTCATTTCTTCCTTCCTTCTCCAATCTTCCTTCCTTCCTTTTTATCTATTTCTCTCTCTTTTCTTCCTTCCTTCTTCTCTCCCTCTTTCAATCTTCCTTCTTTCTTTCCTTCCTTCCTGTTTCTCTTTCTCTTTCTTTTCTTCCTTCTTTTCTTCTTCTCTCCCTCCTTCAACCTTCCTTCCTTATTTCCTTCCTTCCTTTCTGTCAATCTGTCTCTTTCTCTTTTCTTACTTACTTCTTCTCTTCCTCTTTCAATCTTCCTTCTCCAATCTTCCTTCCTTTCTATCTATTTCTCTCTCTTTTCTTCCTTCCTTCCTTCTTCTCTCCCTCTTTCAACCTTCCTTCCTTCTTCTCTCTCCCTCTTTCATTCCTTCCTTCCTTCTCCAACCTTCCTTCCTTCTTTCCTTTCTATCTTTTCTCTTTTCTTCCTTCCTTCTTCTCTCCCTCTTTCAGTCTTCCTTCCTTCTTTCCTTCCTTCCTGTTTCTCTTTCTCTGTCTTTTCTTCCTTCCTTCTTTTCTTCTTCTCTCCCTCCTTCAGCCTTCCTTCCTTTCCTTCTTTCCTTCCTTCCTTTCTGTCAATCTATCTCTTTCTGTCTTTTCTTACTTACTTACTTCTTCTCTTCCTCTTTCAATCTTCCTTCCTTCCTTTTCTCCCTCTTTCACCCTTCCTTCCTGTTTATTCTTTTCTGTCTTTTCTTCCTTCCTCCCTTCTTTCCTTCCCTCCCTCCTTCAACTTTCCTTCCTCTATTTCCCCTTCCCCTGTTCCTTCCTTCCTGTCTATCTATCTCTTTCCCTCTTTTTTCTTCTTCCTTCTTTCCTTCTTCTCTCCCTCCTTCAACCAACCTACCTTTCTTCCTTCCTCTATTTCCCCTTCCCCTATTCCTTCCTTCCTTCCTTCCTTCCTTCCTTCCTTCCTTCCTTCCTTCCTTCCTTCCTTCTTTCCTGCCTTCCTCCCTCCCTTCCTCCGCTCATTCATCCTTTCATTCTGGATTGGATTTTCTCTCCTCCCTCCCAGGGATGTTGGCCAAGACCGGCCCGCACAACAGGGGCGCCGTCTGAGATATTTTCAAGGTTTCCGTTTGCGGGACTGGAACCCTTTCAAAGCATCCCCCGCGGCCTCATCCTCTGCCCTTATTTCATTTCTGCCATTTATTCTGCCCCCTGTTTGCAAGCATCCAGCTCCTTCTCCCTGTTGTTTGTGGCTGGCTACTTGTCTGAGGCTCGAACAATACCGCACGACGATCAAGTGTGTGCTTGCACAAATTGTGTTCCCTTCGAGGAACATAATGGAAGTTGCCATCAATTGCGGTGATTTCTCTGCTCCGAGCCCAGCTTCTCTCTTAACAATGCAATTCTGCACAGTACAAGAGAGATAAAAAAAATCTTCTTTTTCGCGACATGCAGCTCAACGGAGCTATTGATCTGCGCCCGACGGGAGGGTTTTCCCTGGCTGGGGAAAAAAAGGGATTTGTGACCTCGGGATCACACTTTCCTCGCCAAGGGCAGACTGGTGGGAACTGGGGATTGTTGGTTTTTAATGCCCTGGCTTGTCTTCCACCCGTGGGAGGGGGGGGAAGGGGGTCCTTATCATTAAATATCTGTTTGGGAACAGGAGCAGAAAGGAGAGGAGCCCCCCCCCTTCAGGGGACATTTAAAATGTACATTTTGCGTACTGTTTTTATGTTTTCATCGTTTTTCACTCGTACGTTGTCCAGAGTCCCTCTTGAAGCAGAAGGGCAGTTTTTAAAAATTAGATGATAGCTAGCCAGATAGCTGGATGGATGGATGGGTGGATGGATGGATGGATAGACAGACAGATAGGCAGACAGACAATGGAAGTCAGACAGAATAGATTAGAGAGATAGATAAGAGAGCAAGAGAGGAGAGAGAGAGAGAGAGAGAAGAGCAAGAGAGGATAGATAGATAGATAGATAGATAGATAGATAGATAGATAGATAGATAGAAAAGAGCAAGAGAGGATAGACAGATAGATAGATAGATAGATAGATAGATAGATAGATAGATAGATAGATAGATATACAGACAGACAATAGATTATAGATAAGAGAAAGAGAGGATAGATAGATAGATAGATAGATAGATAGATAGATAGATAGAGATAGATATACAGATAGACAATAGATTAGAGATAGATAAGAGAAAGACATAGATAGATAGACAGACAGACAATGGATTATAGATAAGAGAAAGAGGATAGATAGATAGATAGATAGGTAGATAGATAGATAGATAGATAGATAGATAGATAGATAGATAGATAGATAGATAGAGATAGATATACAGATAGACAATAGATTAGAGATAGATAAGAGAAAGACATAGATAGATAGACAGACAGACAATAGATTATAGATAAGAGAAAGAGGATAGATAGATAGATAGATAGATAGATAGATAGATAGATAGATAGATAGATAGATATACAGACAGACAATAGATTATAGATAAGAGAAAGAGGATAGATAGATAGATAGATAGATAGATAGATAGATAGATAGATAGATAGACAATAGATTAGAGATAGATAAGAGAAAGAGATAGATAGATAGATAGATAGATAGATAGATAGACAGACAGACAATAGATTATAGATAAGAGAAAGAGAGGATAGATAGATAGATAGATAAATAGATAGACAGATATACAGATAGACAATAGATTAGAGATAGATAAGAGAAAGAGATAGATAGATAGATAGATAGAGATAGATAGATAGATAGATAGATAGATAGATAGATAGATAGATAAGAGAGAGCAAGAGAGGTTAGATAAACAGACAGACAGACAAACAATAGATTAGAGAGAGGTAGACAGATAAGAGAGAGAGAAATATTGTTAAGTGAATCATGTGGTCATTAAATGAATCCAACTTCCCCCATTGGCTTTGCTGGGCAGGTGGGAGGGTCACCAACGGTGATCACATGACCTCAGGAGACCGCAACCAACCTAAATACAGGCCAGCTGCCAAGCACCTGAATTTTGATCACACGGCCACGGGGATGCTGCCATGGTCGTAAGCGTGAGGACCAGCTGTACATCACTTTTCTCAGTGCGGCTGTAACTTTCGTCAGGACATGAATGATTGTCAGTCAATGTCTATGTCTATGTCAGTCAATGTCTATGTCTGTCCAGAACAGCTGCCTTATTGGGTTTATCCTCATTGAAACCGATGCACCGTATAGTTCGGTTGCCAAATTCCACATGGCCACTAGGGGTGGAAGGGAGTGGGTTTTGTGCCTGGCTTTGCTGCCCTCTGGTGGTTCAGCTGAGTTCTGCAGCCCAGGTATCGCCTCGAATCAAATCCAATTTTGTTAAACTTTTCCCAGGTCAGCTGAGGTAGATTCCAGACTAAAAAATACACCCTTGCAGGGGTTACTCCCTGGAGCAATTACCAACTTCATTTATTCAATGTGTTTCCCTCTTTGTGTTACAGGAAAGAGTGTTTGTATACCTCCTGGATGAGGAAGCTCGTCTGACCTGCAGCGATCCACCCCATGACTTCCCGCAGGAGGGCCGACTCAGGTGAGTGCTTCCCAAGGACCTGGGCTAGGCAGATGTGGACGTTTGATTGTGTTGCAGATATTGTCGCAGGATGTCAGCTGTTCTGAGCAAAGCAGCCTTTTGCAATTGACTGATAGTGAAGGTCAGTTGTCAGTGCCGTGTCAACGGTGTTCATGCGATGCTCCAGATTGCACCCAACATGCCTATGACTATTGGTGCTACCTTTGCTTGCTTTTTGTCATATTTCTATTTGTGGGTCTTTGTAATTTGGGATCTCCTGTGGTTGCAGTGTCTCTGGAATGTGTGATCCCATTTTGCTTGCAACAGACTCTGCTATTCCGTTATTGAGTGGAACGGCTTGCCTTCAGAAGCTGTGGATGCTCCAACACTGGAAGTTTTTAAGAAGAGACTGGACAGTCATTTGTCTTGAAATGGCATAAGGTTTCCTGCCTGAGCAGGGGGTTGGACTAGATGACCTCCAAGGTCCCTTTCAATTCTGTTATTCGGTTATTTAGTGGAACGGCTTGGTTTGGCTTCAGAAGTTACGGATGCTCCAACACTGGAAGTTTTTAAGAAGAGACTGGACAGTCACTTGTCTTGAAATGGCATAAGGTTTCCTACCTGAGCAGGGGGTTGGACTAGATGACCTCCAAGGTCCCTTCCAATTCTGTTACTTGCTTATTTAGTGGAACGGCTTGGCTTGGCTTCAGAAGTTGCAGATGCTCTAATACTGAAAGTTTTTAAGAAGAGACTAGTCAGCTGTTTGTCTGGAATGGTATAGGGTTTCCTCCCTGAGCAGGGGGTTGGACTAGATGACCTCCAACGTCCCTTCCAACTCTATTATTATTATTATTATTATTATTATTATTATTATTATTATTATTATTATTATTATTATTATTATTATTATCGATCATCGCACAGTCAGCCAGATGTTCAGACTGGATTTGGCATTTTGTCTATCTATCGAGTCCTAACCCAGGACCTGGGATAGGCAGATGTGGATGTTTGATGGTATTACAGATATCGTCGCAGGATGGAAGCAGTTCCTAATAAGGCCGCCTTTTGCAATTGACTAATAGCGAATTTGTCAATGCCAATTGTGTTCAAGTGGTGCTCCAGTTGTTTTGGGATTGCACCCAAGGAGCCTATGACTATTGGTACTACCCTTGCTTGCTTTTGCCACAGTCTTTCTATTTCTATTTGTAGGTCTTTGTATTTTGTTATCTTCTCCAGTTCTTTCTCTTCTATTCTGCTGTCTCCAGGCACTGCCACGTCCACTATCCAGACTTTTTTGTCTTTCTTATCGACAATTGTTAAGTCTGGGGTGTTATGTTGCAGGTGCTTGTCTGTTTGAATTCTGAAGTCCCAGAGCAGTTTAATTTTATCATTTTCTATGACTTTCTCTATTTTATGATCCCACCAGTTTTTGCTTACAGGCAAATGATATTTTTTGCAGATCTTCCAATGCACCATTGTTGCTACTTTGTCATGCCGCTGCTTGTAATCAGTCTGTGCAATCTTCTTGCAACAGCTTACCAAGTGGTCCACTGTTTCTTCAGCTTCTTTGCATAGGCGGCACTTACTGTCTGTTGCTGTCTTCTCAATTTTGACTTTGTATGCATTTGTCCTTAAGGCTTGGTCTTGTGCAGCCAGAATTAGTCCCTCGGTCTCTTTCTTCAATTTTCCTGCTCTTAGCCATTGCCAGGTTTTATTATTATCTGCTTTCCCAGCTATTTTTTTCATGTATTGGCCATGTAGTGCTTTGTCTTCCCATGCCTCTATTCTGTTCTTCATTTGGTCTTTCTTGTAGGCCAGTTTGGTCTCTCCAGTAGTTAGTAAGCCTTCCTGATATACTAATTTCAGTGCATCTTCATCATTGTTCTTCAGATATTCTTCCAAAGCCATTTTTTCTTCTTCAACCATCTGATGTACTTGTAGCATTCCACGCCCACCTATTTGCCTTGGTAGATAAAGTCTATCAATGTCACTGCGTGGATGAAGGGCATGATTCATTGTCATTATTTTTCTGGTCTGCCTATCCATTGCTTTTAGTTCTGCTTGAGTCCAGTCCACTATTCCAGCTGTGTACCTAATGACTGGGATTGCCCAGGTGTTGATTGCCTTTATGGTATTTCCTCCATTGAGTTTGGATTTTAAGATCTTCTTCACTCTCTTGATGTATTCACCTCTAATCTTTTTCTTGACTTCAGTGTGCTTGATGTTGTCAGCTTGAAGGATACCCAAGTATTTGTAGTACTCTTCCTCATCCAGGTTCTTAATGTTATTTTCGTGGGGCATCTTGATTCCTTCATTTTTCACTATTTTTCCTTGTTGGATAGTAAGTGTGGCACATTTGTCCAAGCTCCATTACAATATCTTGGCTATATATACGGACAGTGTTGAGCAGCGATTCTATTTCAGATGATGTTTTTCCATACAGCTTCAGATCATCCATGTAAAGGAGGTGGGATAGTCTGGCAGATGTTTTTGATGTTTGATAGCCATGTCCTGAGTTATTCAGTATTGTTGACAGAGGAAACAGTGCAATAACAAATAGTAATGGTGATAATGAATCTCCTTGAAATATTCCTCTCTTGATATTAACCTCTCCCAGCCTCTCACCATTGATCTGCAACTGTGTCTTCCATTGTGCCATCGATCTTTGCACAAATTTTCTGATGTTTCTACTGACTCCTGTTATTTCTAGGCACTTTATTATCCAATCATGTGGCAGAGAGTCAAATGCCTTTTTGTAGTCAATCCATGCCACATTCAGGTTGGTCTTCCTTCTCTTGCAGTTTTCCAAGATCATTTTGTCTATTAGGAGTTGATCTTTTGTTCCTCTGCTATTGGGGCGGTTTCCTTTCTGCTCAGGTGGAAAGAGATTGTTTTCAACTAGATGCTGTTGTACTGCATCAGCTACCACACCAGTTAGTAATTTGAAAGTTGTTGGTAAGCAGGTAATTGGCCTGTAGTTACCTGGTGTTGCCCCTTTTGCTGGATTTTTCATTATTAGGTAGGTTTTCCCAGTTGTTAGCCACTTTTCAATTTCTCCTCCTTGTAGTATATTGTTGAACTGCTTGGCAATGAGTGGGTGTATAACAGTTAGATGTTTCAACCAAAACCCATGCAGTTCATCTTCACCTGGTGCTGACCAATTTTTGATTTTCTTTGCTCTTTTTTCTACCATTTTTGTTGTTATTACTAGTTCTTTCATTTCAACTTCTGTTTTATTTGCATCCACCTCTTTTAACCAAGCCGCATCCTTGTTGTATTTCTTTGGGTTATCCCATATCTGCTTCCAGAACTGCACTGTTTCTTCCTTGTCAGGTACTGACTGATTCCTTGCAGTTTCTCCATTGATGGATTGGTAGAAACGTTTCTGATTGGATTGAAATTGGAGGTTCTGCCTATAGTTATTATTATTATCGATCATCGCACAGTCAGCCAGATGTTCAGACTGGATTTGGCATTTTGTCTACCTATCGAGTCCTTACCCAGGACCTGGGATAGGCAGATGTGGATGTTTGATGGTATTACAGATATCGTCGCAGGATGGAAGCAGTTCCTAATAAGGCCGCCTTTTGCAATTGACTAATAGCGAATTTGTCAATGCCAATGGTGTTCAAGTGGTGCTCCAGTTGTTTTGGGATTGCACCCAAGGAGCCTATGACTATTGGTACTACCCTTGCTTGCTTTTGCCACAGTCTTTCTATTTCTATTTGTAGGTCTTTGTATTTTGTTATCTTCTCCAGTTCTTTCTCTTCTATTCTGCTATCTCCAGGCACTGCCACGTCCACTATCCAGACTTTTTTGTCTTTCTTATCGACAATTGTTAAGTCTGGGGTGTTATGTTGCAGGTGCTTGTCTGTTTGAATTCTGAAGTCCCAGAGCAGTTTAATTTTATCATTTTCTATGACTTTCTCTATTTTATGATCCCACCAGTTTTTGCTTACAGGCAAATGATATTTTTTTGCAGATCTTCCAATGCACCATTGTTGCTACTTTGTCATGCCGCTGCTTGTATTATTATTATTATTATTATTATTATTATTATTATTATTATTATTATTATTATTATTTAAAGCTTCTTTTCTAATTGGCTGGTCACAGATCCTGGTTGCAGAATTCTTATTTAAATTTGTTTTCCCCACCTTATTCAAAGCATTCCTACCGGTTTAAGATTTGCTCAAAACGAGTTACACTTAAGTGTTTAGGGGAGGATATGTTGCACATCCCCTGCCCGGCCAGCCGCACCTGTTTTCATGCCTCTGTGCAAAATAAAGGGCTCCACTGGGCAGTGGACGGTTGGCTTTTATTGATTGCAAACCTCACTGCTGGATGTTTGGCAGCCAGTCTATTAACTCGCAGACGTTGGCAAATTAATTGTAGGACTAGGTAGCTGTTAGCCTACAATTGCCATTAGGAACCCCGTTGCGGCCTTGGCACTGTCCAGCCCTCTTCTGGCATTCGGCTCGCGCGTGGGGGTGTCAGGAAGCACCGTTTGATGTGTGGACTTCAACTCCCAGAAGTCCTACCTGAATGGTAGGGCTGGAAAGAACCACAGAGATCGTACTAGTCCAGAGGTAGGCAACCTTGATTCTTTTATGACTGGTGGACTTCAACTCCCAGAATTCCTGAGCCAGCATGGGGAAACTATGGCTCCTTCATGACTCCTGGACTTCAACTCCCAGAATTCCTGAGCCAGCATGGGGGAAACTTTGGCCCCTTCATGACTTATGGACTTCAACTCCCAGAATTCCTGGGCCAGTATGGGGGAACTATGGCCCCTTCATGACTTATGGACTTCAACTCCCAGAATTCCTGAGCCAGCATGGGGGAACTATGGCCCCTTCATGACTCGTGGACTTCAACTCCCAGAATTCCTGAGCCAGCATGGGGGAAACTTTGGCCCCTTCATGACTCGTGGACGTCAACTCCCAGAATTCCTCAGCCAGCATGGGGGAACTATGGCCCCTTCATGACTTATGGACTTCAACTCCCAGAATTCCTCAGCC